GGATCGCTGCCACTCTGGTGACACGGGGGGCGTGGGAGAAGTCGTGGTTTTTTTGGGGAAGCATGTTTGATGCCCTGGGGGAAGGGTGGGCTGCCTGTCAGGGAGGACAAAAGCATCCTTGCTAAGCCAGTCTCAGTCTCTGCCCGCCCCCCCCAGGGTTCGGGCCCTGCCTAGTCAGCAGATTTTTGGCTGGTAGCCAGGCGAGGGGCTCCCTGTTGGGGCAGGCAAATGGCACTGGCCCCCTCCCCACTCCTCCTCCGCCTTCCCCCATACCCAAGGCGGGTTCACCCTCAGACAGCAGTGGAGCAACACGGTGCAGGCAGCCTGGCCACGGCTTTCTCTCCTCTTCCTGGGGACAGCAGCTCCTGCTCTCCTGCAGAGCCCAAGGGACGCCCTTCCCAGGGAGATCCGGCTTGGGACAAACTCGAGAGCAGGTGGTGCAAATAAGAAACACTTCAGTGGGGGATTGTTTTAAGACAAGACTCTTTCAAGCAAGCAGAAGAACAAAAGATGTTGAAAGAAGCGCCCAGCATCACAGTGTAGACGAGCTCCCTGCCAGAGCCCTGCCCAGCCCTGCCTTGTTTCCCTGCCCGGAGGCAGCCAGCACATCCGCTTCACCCTCCATTCCTCACCCTCTGTGCCTCGCTCCTGTCGATGGGAACAGCGGGTGGGGGGGACGCGGAGGGAAGAGGTGGTGACAGGAAGACGGCAACAGCCACGCCACTGTTATCTCCCCGAAGCCGGGAACTTGGCCCCATGCCCAGGCGGCTCTTGGTGGGCGCGGGCATGGATACATCCAACGTAGACACCGACAGGGCTGGCAGCCAAGTGCCAGCGGCTTAAATTAAAAATCGAGGTAGCAAACGTCTGAAGTGCTTAGAAAGTAAATAAGTTCTGGAACGAAAGAGGAGGAAAGTTGAGCTGGCTGCTGCAGGGAGCAGGCTCTGACCCAGTTTAAAGCTGTGCCTGCTGCCCCATGGCCGGTCCAGGGGCAGCCGAGCAGGGAGGCAGTGGCTCCTAGTGCTGGCGAAGGTGGGGACACGGGTCAGGCCTTATCCCGGCCCTGCAGCAGCAGGCTTGGCACCCCGGGGCCTGTGTGCACGGGTGAGAGGTTTTTCAGTGCTGCCAAGGCGACCTTGACCTTCTCAAGCAGGAGGAAAGAGGAGAAAGGAGCAGGACCTTCCGAGACAGAGCAGAATGCCTCCCTTTAAAGTGCATTGCGTTTCTTCTCCTGCTGCCAGCTGGGATGCGGGAGGAACCGTAGTTCACATCGCCAGGGAGATTTCCAAGCTGGGGCAGGCACACCGATTGATTGTTTTTGGGGGACAGGGAGGGAAGAAATAATTTCCTTCCTGCTTGGCTCTCTCAAGGCCCACCCCACCACGAGGTACGTTCAAGAGAGGACTGGGGGGTGAAGACGTTCCAAGGAGATGCCTTGCCCAGCAGCCTGGCCCTGCAGTGGGCAAGGGACGCAGCAGGAGCCAGCTTGCTAATGGGGGAGGCAAGTCTGCTGCAGAGCTGGGGACCTCACTGCCACCAGCAGTGGCCATGGACCGCAGAGATCTCCTGCAGGCAGAGGGACCCCGGGCAGCAGCGAAGCCAACCTCTCCAGAGCTGGCATAAGCGGGGAAACGCACAGGAGAAAGAGAACGAGGCCCGAGACAGCAGCATCTGATCTCCTTCCCCTTCCCAAGAGGAGTGCAGCGGCCAGCTGGATGTGCTTCAAGACCAGGCCCCCCTTCGGCCTTCATCCTCCATCGACAGACCCACCCAGGGGAGCATCGTATAACACTCGTGTCAAGCGACATGCTGCAACACTGGCCATCTAACCACCAGGCCCGAGGGATCTTGGGGCCCCAGACAGTGCATTACCTTGCCCTGGCTCTCCCTGGGCTGCATACCTGAGAAGCAGGGGATTTTGTCTGGTGAGAAGTGCAGGCTCGCTCTCCCTTTGACAGCTCACACACAGCAGCTCATTTGCAGTTCCAGTTACCCATCAAAAGTCAACTAGAGGCTACAAAAGGTATTTTTAGTCTTCTGACTCAAGCGAGGATGTTTGTAAGCAGTTGTTGCACAAGGTCACCCATCTCCTGCGAGGAGCGCTAGCCAAGCCCAGCCAGCCTACTCCGTCCCGCCTCACCTCCGGGCGAGGGGAGAGCCACCGCCCCCGACGCGTGCCCAGAGTCCTCCTCGAGTGGGAACACGATGCAGCCTCGCCTGGCAAGGCTGGGGGAGGTGGGGCAGGGCCTCCCACCCGCAGGCAGCAACGTCTGGCGACTCACACCTCGCAGATGATCACCGGGAAATCCACGTGAATGCGAGGGTGCTCTAGTTTCACTATGCCCTGAAAGAAGAGTCAGAGTGGTGAGCAGGGAAGACCACCGAGCAACAGCCCCAAGCCCTGCGAGTCACCCTGTACAGGCAGAGCACACCATGCCCTCGAGGAACATAAGTCCGTAAAAGCTGCCGTGACACCAAGTACGCCTGAACGGCAGCACGCAAAGCAAAATGCCCTTCGAACTTATCCCTGAAGAGCCAAGAGAGGCGCGGCTGGCTGCCACACATGATGGGTCTGGAGCTCAGCAGGGTGAGAAAGGAGGGAGCTGCTCTGCCAGGCACTGCCCGTGCAGCAGCTGGTGCGTGACTGGCAGATATTGGCCGTCTGGGCTTTTCATCTGGCACCTTTCATTCACAGGATTTAAAAGAATGAAAAGAGCTCTCTGACAGAAAGCAGCCAGGGCAGCTGGCACACAAGAAAAGCAGCTTTCTATCCAGAGGGGAGGCTGCTGAATGCACGCTCCCTCCACGCCAGCTACAGGCGCCTTTCCCATGCTCCATCCAAGCCTTCTCCTGTTACAGCACTAGGAGGACCCGCTGGCAGGTGGGGGGCCAGGGGTGGAGCAGGCTCGGGCCCACTCGCCCCAGCTCAGCTGAGCTTTCCAACCAGGTGAGTTTCAACTCACACCAATGAGGAATTGGTCTCACAGTCTAAGCTTGCCTCTACGAGAATGCCAGCCCGAGGAGCAGCACTGAATCCTTCCTGATGTAACTGCCTGCACAGCGCTCGGAGGGGTCCCATCCCACTGCAGGACTGCTCACCCCTCAGAGCACACCAACGGCTTGCCCCAGGCGCTCGCTAGAGCCGTGCCTTTCTGATTACTTAGTAAAGACTCCTGCAGGGTCTCTCTCCAACCCTGATTTGATCCTCCCTTTCCTCCGCTTATGCCCCCAGAAGCCTCCCTACATGCAGGCTATCCTTCTGCTGCACTGAGACCCTCAATCAGTGTCCCAGCCCCTGCCTGACTTCACCCCAGTTGCTTATTTTAAGAGGAGACTTTTGCACTCAGGTGCAAAACGCAGAACTGTCAACACCACTGTCACTGTTGAGCAGCCAGGTGGAACGTGCACACTCACGTCAGTGGGTGACAGGCTTTGGCTCCTGCTCCTGAAGCCAGGGCTCTCTGCAGCGATGGGACATGGGCTGAGCAAGTGCAGCCCCCCACACCTCAGGGAAAGTGGTCGGTGACGGGATGCCATGGCCGTGCAGGGCTGCCTGACATTCTGCACCCCATGACACACACCCAGCTGAGCTATCTTCCCCAGCCTGGCAGCTCTAAAAGGCTGGGGCACTGCTTCTTTCTGGAAAGAGGGGCTGGAGAGGGTCACCAGTTCTCCCTCTCCTGCCACAGCTTCACGAGGTGACATGGGCATGAGCCAGGACACACAGCTCTGAGGCAGGAGCTGAGAAGCATGAGCAGAAAGCCTTTGCCTTCCCGGCAAGAAGGTGCCCCGAGGGAGAAGGCAAAGCCGGGACTTGAGTCATCACAGTGGGGCTTTGGCGCTCGCTTTCCCCCACCCCTCTCCACATGCTACCTGAGGTATCAGGTTCTTGTGGATCCTCTTCAGCTTGGCGCGCTTCCTCCCGTTCTTAGTGACGATTGTCTCCTCGTAGAACTCGTGGGCGAGATCCCCGTCCTCGTCGTAATACATGGAGCTGGCGAGAGAAGGCCGGCGGGTGGGTGAGAGCCTGCCG